CCCCGCCTGCAGCACAGCTTCAGCTTCGCCGGCTTCCCCAGCGCTGCTGCCAGCGGGCTGCTGGACAGCCCCACCTCCATCACCCCGCCGCCCATGCTGAGCGCCGACGACCTGCTGGGCTCCCCCACCCTGCCTGACTGCGCCAGCAACCCCTTCACCTTCTCCAGCCAGGAGCTGGTCAGTCTCTTCGCCCCCAGCATGGGGGTGCAGGTGCCCAGCGGGAGCTCCCCCACCACCTTCTTGTTCAGGCCCATGTCCGAGTCCCCCAACATGTTTGACTCGCCGCCCAGTCCTCAGGACTCCCTCTCTGACCAGGAGGGCTATCTGAGCAGCTCCAGCAGCAGCCACAGCGGCTCAGATTCCCCGATCCTGGACACCTCAAGACGTCTTCCCATCTTCAGCAGACTCTCCATCTCTGACGACTAATCTGGGGTTTCCTCTCGCTCCCCTCTCCCCACCTCTATGATGATGTTAAGCTGAACTCCCCCACCCCATCCCTGGTAGCTGGATGTTAACGTGGCCGCCTGCCTGCCGCAGACCCGCTGGCTTAAACCTTAAGTGCCAAATTACGACGAAAAGCAATAACGTTTACAAAATTAGTGCCTTTTAACACTTGTCACTGTGACTGTATTACCTCTCCAGCTGCAGAGGGCGCCAGCAGCTCTGTGCGCTGCCAGATGTGCAGGAAATGTCCGGATCTGGCTCCCTCCACTGGCCACGTACTGCATCGCCCTCTCCCAGTCCCTTCCTGACTGGCCAGTTTCCGCTAGGCTGCAGGCATGTGGGCAGGCGTTAACATCCAGTCCTCTTTCTCCCCTCCCCTTAAAGACTAATCTTGCCTGGATCCACTCAGGTCTGTGGGAAGAAAAGCTGAGAACGGACAAAGATTGTAACACGAGTGGGACTTCGACTGGGAGGAAGAAAACAAACAAAAAGAAAACAAAACCCAGACGGACTATGAGAGACTTGATTTTGGTGCTAAAAGTTCCCCGTGTATTCATGTGACATCTTAAAAAAAAAAAAAAGAAAACAAATAAAGAAATAGAGGGGTGGGGCTGACGGAAGTCATTCCACACACACAAGTTCGTGTAAACAAAGTTCCAGTAGACATAGCTTTAATGGTTTTTGCTCTAGAGTACTTTAGACCTATCTTAGAGCACTCACGCCAAGCTTTTTATTATTTTTTTGTGGTTTTTTGTTTTTTTTTTCCTGGGTTTTTAATTTTGTATAACTTTTCAGAAATTGGAGAGCAAATTTTGCTTGTCACTGCACAACAATATAAAAAAGCTTATTTAACTTATCAAAACGTATTTATTGCCGAAACCTATGCTTTTTTTTGTTAATTTTGTTCATATTTATCGGGATGATGAATCCATAGAATATATTCTTTTATGTTTAAATTATGATCTTCCATATTAATCTTAAGATTGTGAAGTGTCTTTTTTTCCTTTTTCCCCCCCCACAGTTTAATATATTATACTACAATGACATTTTTTGTAACTTTACACTTTTTTGGTTATTTTATTTTAAAAAATGAAAAATTAATTTAAAAAATGCAAAAACTGTGTTTGGATTATTTATTTTAGAATCCCTCTCCCCCTTTTTTTTTTTTGTGTTGGACTGCAAATTGAGTTAATGTGGTTCTTTGCCTTTCTTCTCCCCTTCTTCCTCCCCTCCCCTGGGTCTTGCCTACCTGGGCTTTAGAATGTACGTACCTGAGCTCTGTTGCGAGATGGCGTGGAAGGAAAACCTTTTTCTTCCTCTTTTTATATAGATTCTTCAAGGAGAAAAGCCTTGGGCTCAAAGTGCCTATCTGAAGACATTCCAAATACAGTTTGTCTTTGCGTTTCTGTATTCCGAGTTTGGAGTTTTCCTTGCCAAGGTGAATGGGACTGGCACAAAGAGAATTATGAATGTAATTTTTTTTTTCCCCCATTACTGTTCACTACATTGCTTTTTCTTCCTCTCTGTGTGAGTTTATTTAAAAAGAAAATCTCTTTTGTAACGACTGTTTGCAGTTTAAATCAATAAACCCCAAGTTTTTTCAAGAAACTGACAGTGGAGCTGGTTTTACTTGCGGAAATCGAGGGCCTGGTTTTAGACAACCGCTCAAATGCAGCTACTTCCCTCCTCTCAACCCTTGGGGTGCCTGCCCTGTGCTGGGGCACTGCTCCTCCATCCCTCGCTGATGCAGCCGGTCAGCCTGGCAGGCACGTGGGTGGACAGCCCGATGCTGGGCATCGCCTGATGTGACCCGCTGCGGTGGCTTCTAACTCTGTCTCTTGTGGAGTCCTCCTCCTGTCCTGAGTCCCTTCGTCTTTTCCTGTAAGCACCTTTCTGATTGGTGTAGCTTAAACCTTGGGTTGGCTTCTGTTCCTCTGGCAAGGCTTTGCCCCTTTCCAGCCCCTGGGGAGCCTGTGTGTGTTTTGAGTGAGGCTCAAGTGGGATGTTGAATCTGTACAGATCTCCCAAATCTCAGGCCTGGCTTGTTAGTGGTAACGATCTGCTTGGGCAGAGCAGCTGTTCGGTGTGTTGCATGGAAGAGGAATGGGCACCCCTAGCAGGGTCTTGGTGTACACACAGGTGATCCTGCTACTGCATGCAGGCCCTCGTGCCTCTTGAAGTAACCTCAAACTTCTGAAGCCGGTGGTTTGTTCAGGGACCCTTCTTTGCCAGCGCTGCTCGCGGCATAGGCCGACTGTTTTCACCTTTGAGCTCTCCTCTGGAGCAAGCTTGGTGCTTTTTTCCACCTGAAACTGTTCCAGCTCTCTTCCAAATTGGGAGTGGAATACTGCTGCCGAACCACTGATCCTTCAGCTGTCTTGACATGCCTCAACGTTCTGGAGAGAGATTTCCTAATTCATGTTGGAAAAGTTCCCTGCCAAACAAAATCTGCAGGATACCTCAAGGCTTTCACCGACGTACCTTCCTTGCTGTTGGCTTTGTGCAACACGTTTCTTGTGTGGTCTGGCCGTGAAGGCGAGCAAGGTGGAGGAGAGATGGTGGAAGAGGAGCGTGGCTGGTAGGAGCTGGTTCCCATGAACAGTGCAAAAGCTGCACGGGGAGTTTGCCTGGGAGATGCTGGCGTAACCAGCACGCAGCACGGTCTGTGTGCTGATCCCTGAGAGCAGAACCTTGGGCACAGCCCCGGTACGGCCCAAAGGCCTCCAGATACCTTCTGCTGACCGCAGCCTTGCCCCGGTGCGTGAAGGCAGCGGGGACCTGCGCAAGAGATGGGCTTCTGCCTGGAAGACCCGTGCCAGGCTGCAGCAAGCCCCCAGCCCTTCCTCCTTCCCCGCGGCTGGAAGCTGAGCTGTCGGCCCCTAAAGAGCGAGGCATATCTGATCTGGAGAGGATCCCAAGCCTATCGCAGGGTGTGCACATGGAGCTTGAAACTGCTTGCTTCCTCTCTGGACTTTCCGTGCAGCTCCTCCAACAGCTAGTCTTTGCCCAGTTAATAATTGATGAAGAAAATAGCTGTGTTAGTTGTACGGTGCTATTGGTATGACAAACAACTGGGAAGCTGGGCTAAAAGTAGGTCTTTGCTCACAGTACTGGTGTACTTCCCTTGTCCTTCTGGTGCACTGGTTCTGGGAAGCCAGCACCATTTCTCTCCTGTGAGTTTATTAATGGTAAATGCTCTGTCACTCAGTGCTTTGCTTTTTGAAACTTAACCTTGAGCTAGGTCACACAGGGGATAGAAAAGAGCAGAACAAGCAGCGTCAGAAGTTTACTTTCTGTAACGGTGTGAGAGAGGGTGCACTCTTGGGACCCTCCATCAATGCAGGGATTTGCCTCATCTGATACCGTTAGCATTCACTGCGGCTTGGGTATATGGCAGCAGCTAGGCTGGAGGGACTTGTCCTTTAGATTTACCATGGAGGAGTTGTCTGTGCTGTTTCTCATAGGGTTAGCATCTGTGTCCCCTAGCAGTTTGCCATGGTTGGTAATAGCTTAACCAAGGCTCAAAAAAGTAAACAGCCTTTCCACAGTGATGGTTTTGAGACACGTGTTCCTGTGACTTAAGGGCTCCTCCACGTTCTGGCTCGTTGATTTAGTGCACGGGACACCGAGAGTGGCCGGGAAGCTGAGGTGCCTGCTGTCCCAGGGCAGAGAGAGAGGCACCCACAAAGACAAGGTAGGGTGGCACGGCAGAGTGCCTCGGTGCACGTTACAGGTTGCGCTTGCAGCTCTTGCTGTGGGGCAGGGGCACACCTACGGTGCCTCTTGCTGCTCCTCACGTACTTTCTGTTATGCCCATGGGTGCTTGCTGTGGGCTCCGTGGAAGAACACCAGGCCCATGCCTTCAGGCTGCAGGCGTTAGCTGTCACTTATCTTTCGGCTTCCATGTCAGGTGACTCTAGTGCTATCCACCTTTACCTTGCCTAGCTGTCTTCGAAAACTGCAGCCGGTGTGCGTGGCTGGCTGTGCCAGTTGCCTCCCGATAAGGACTAATGTGACGACTTTGATCTGCAGAGCTCCAGGTGGCTCAGATCCCGCTCGGGTAGCTGCCTCCCTCCTTCCCAATTCCTGCAACAGCTGTAGGTGTCCCAGTGACTGTACTGGCTACTCCCTCGCTATGGGCCACATCTGGCTGTTGTAACAAAACATCTTAAGTTCTGCCATCGGGGGTTGTAGAAAAAGAGGTCGCCTCATTTCCCGAACTTCTCTGTAGCTGAGGGCTGCAAACCCAAATCGGGTTTCTTTGTTCTTGTTTTTAAAGGCAGTTGGGAACTTGACTGTCTAGTTTTGGCCAACTGTTGTTTAGCATCACTTGTTCATAGGCACGGTGTGCCAGATGGCAAGTAACGAAAAATACCATTTAAAAAGAACCCTGAAATGCCCCAAGCTCCTGGTCCTGACAGTTTGCCTCATCAGCATTGTCATGACACTGGGAGGCAGAGAGGGACAGAACTTGGAGAAGCAGAGGGCAGTAGAAATACCCCTGGAGGACTGTCTGAACAGCTCTTGCACAGGGAGGGCAACGGTCTCCGACTGGGACTTGGAGCTGCTGTTGCACATCACGTAGGGAAGACCAGGCTCCGCCAGGCCCTGCACGCGGAGAGGAGGTGGCGGTGGGGCAGGAAATGGCGGTGTCACCCACGCTGGGGATGGGGAGCGGAAGAAGACCTAGAGCTCAAGCCCACACAGCATGGAGATAGCGAGGGTGAGAGAGAAGTTGCCTTGAGCCCGAAGACTTGTTAACTAATGGTGTTTGGATGCAGGAGGGCTAATGAACTGAGTCTCTCCGGTGGGGAGCAGCAGCACTGAGGGGAAGGTCTGGCTAAAGTAGCCTGCTGGATGCTATCTGATGACTATGCCCAAGGGTACGAATGAGTAGTAAGATGCAGTAATACATGCAAAAACCACAGCATGCCCTTTACACTTGCTAATTGCTGCAATTTGTGTGGCATGGGCTGGGGAAAGCTAGCGTGTGCTTGAGTCTGGGGAAAGGCTTTGGGAGAAGGTGCAGCAGTCAGCACAGGAGCAAAGAGGCTCCTGGCTCCAGTGCCGGAGACGTTGCGGGGGTTGGAAGCTGTGGGCATGTCCACTGGCACAAAAGCACAGCCCAGGGAGGGGGAGA